TTATTGAACACTTTTTCATAATATCCTGTTTTGACATATTAGCTTCATAATATGAGACCATTTTAATCTTTTCTGCTTCCATAAAATGTTTAACCATATAGTAAAAAAATAACAGTGTTTTTTTATAATATTTTTTGGGGGAAATTAAAAAAATATTTTAGGCTCAATTTTTTATTCCATTTTTTTAATTTTTTTAAAATTTCTGTTTCACATGTCATTTTTATTTATTTTTTAATAATAAGTATGTAGAATAGACAAAATTTAATCTTATTTTTTAATAAATTTTGTTTTTTCAGTAATTTGTATTTTATTTTTGTACTGGCTCAATTTTATTTTCCACCACTGTAGATACTTACATCTATTCCAGGCACTCTCAATATTTTGAGTATGAACGCCTGTAAAGGCTTTCACAAATGATTTACTGTGATTTACAGTAGAGTTAAAAAATCTCAATCTACTAGTGATACCTAAGTAAGCCTATCATAAATCAGAATGTATAACTGTACCCGGTGCACAAACTCTTTAAATAATAGGTATAAGTCTACTACATTTTTGGAACTAAATGCAGTGAAATTTTAGTCGATGTGTAAGATATATCAGCTAATCCAAACACCCAGATTTCATGCTCAGGTTATCAGCCACAATGGTAGTTCTATTTATTTTATTTAAACAATTAAAACATCGCCGCCTAAGACGAGTGGATTTTTAAAATAATAATTTAAACATTACCTTCTAAGAAGATCGATTATTTTTATTGTACTATCATTACCCACATTAACCTCAGATCTTTTTTGTACTTGTGTAAGTTATTTAGCCATTTAAAACACGCTTTTAGTATGCTACTCAGTGATACATTCAAGTTCGATAACAATGACTCGTTGCGAATTGAGAAATATTTTTTATAATTTATACAACTCGTAGTAAGGCACCTAAACGCCAAGCCATCTCTGTTTCTTGTGTATGGTCTTTTTACCATATCTTGATTACAAGATACACACTGGACGTACCTTTTAAGTACTCCTTTGGTTCGTATAAACTCAACTAGTTTCACAACAGGACCGCGTGATAACGGTTCAAACACTCTTGCATACCAATGATTCATGGATTAAAAAATTATATGTTTTATTTAATGGTATTTTTATCTATTTTCTATATTTTTAAGTCTGAAATTCCCTCGTTTATAAAATTTCAGACTTGTTTCAATTTAGTTTTTTTAAATTTATTTTTTATTTTTAAATTATTTTTTCATACTTGATCCTAATTGTCTACCCTGATGATATTTTTGTTTGTGTTTAAATATAATTTCATCTATTTAACAATCATGCCATCGCCTCTAAGAAGAAGGTATTTTTATTTATATATCTTATTGAATATTTACGTGTTTTATGTATCTTTTTAAAATACCTTTGGTGTATAGATATTTTTTTAATTTAACCAAAACTATGTAATACCGGTTTTGACACTCTGATATAATACTGATTTAAAAGTTTAAAATTTCATCAAAAAATATTTTATTATGTTACTTTATTATTTTTTAAGTTAATTTTTCTAAAAGAAAAAGATGTTGTTCTGGAAATTTATATCTAATATGTGAAAAAAATATTAATTTAACTGAAAACAATGGAATAGGATAAAATGTTTTATTGACTCAATCAGAAAATAAATTAAAACTAGTATTATAATGAAATAAAAAATAACTTTTTGTTTTTTTGGTTATATTGTAAATTTAAATTAAGTTGTGGTGTTATACAAATTGCATTAAACGTATTATTAAAACAACATAAAGTAATATTCAAAAAATGAGCTAGGGTATTTTTTGAAAGAAAATATTTAAAAGTATGTTTTAGTTAAAATTTATACCTTTATTTTGCTTTTAAATATATAAAGTAAATTTAATGTGAAAAAGAAATCAAATAATATATCAAATAAATTATATTTTTTATTAAAAAATTTTAAAATATTGTTTAAAAGAAAGAGCAACTTAAAATTAAATAATATACATGTTTGCCTTTAGCGTTGTAAATTACTAGAATATTCTTATTTAAATTCATAATATATGGCTGTACCGTCTTAGGACTTAAGGAATTCAAAACCTTTAAGATTTCCTCTTTAAGTTCCTGTTTTTTTTTAATTTACCCTTTTTATGGGTTTTTCCTAAAAAAATATATGTGCTTAATAGAATTTAAATCCAAGTTTTAAAGTGGCTAAGGTAAGATGTTAACTTCTTTTGCATAAATTTAAATTTTAATAACACTTGAAGTGTGTTTTGGATCATTATAATACATAAAAATAAATAATTTAATACCATTTAATTACCACCCGTCTCAAATTTTTTTACTAAAATTTGTTTATAGGCAGTCTCTATCGTAAATTTTCCGATAAATACTGGTCTACCAATATCTTAATATGGTATACACTCCAGACCATAACACATCCACCTCCGTGTTTTACTATAGGCATAATATTTTTTTTGTTATGTTTTTCTCCTAGGTAATATCTAACATATCTTGCTCTATCATTAGTAAATAGATTTATTTTCACTTTATCTGAATAAATTATTTTTAAGAGTTTCATCCTTTATTACTAAAAAATTTTTACAAATTTTAAATATTTTTTCAATGTCACCCGTTCTTAACAACAACTTTTCACATATATTTGTAATAAGATTCAAGCTGGTTGAAAATTTTAAAATATGGGTCTTGAAAACTTCAAACTAAATTACTTTTCTAACTTTTCAATAATTTCCTTATATGAAATAAATGAATTTTCATGAAGATTTTAAATAAATTGTTTTTATAATTATTTAATATTGTAAGACGACTAGAACCTTTTTGCAACTAAATAAATTGTTGTTTTTAAAGTTTACAACTTTTCTCTGTGTTTTTTTTTGAAAATTCTTTTTTTAATAAAAATCTAGTTTAAATTTTATCCAGAATAAATATCATCACAATAAGTGTTTTGTCAATATTATTTAAATATCTTACCATATAAAAAGGTTTCAAAAATGATTTAAAAAACGAAAATTTAAGGAGAAATTTTAAAGACTCATTTTTAAACACCACTGTAGATATAGCATTTTAAAAACAGTTTAATATTAAAAATTAAAACAGGTTTATTTTAGTTAATATTTTATCAATTATTACAATAGAAAAAATGTATGACCTAAACTAAAAAAATTCTTTTGATTAGTTCTCAAAAAAAACTAATTAATTTAAATTAATTAGCGCCCTAAAACTTTTTATAAATTAAAAAATTTAACAAATATTTTAGTTTTTAAACTATTAATATACTATGGTGAAATTTTATAAAATGATATTTTTTAAAGTTTCTTTGGCCTAATGGTACTAAAAAACTTGTGGTTGAAAAGTATTGTGGATTTTATGACACTCCAAGACTCTTTATGGGGTTTAGAAAGAAAATTAACACTTTCTTCATTATCTGGTATGAGTTGTAATGTAAAAAAAAGAACCACTTTACAAATGTCATTTTTGTTTTGAAGAAAAAAAGAGAACTTATTATATTGCCCTGTTTATCTATACCTTACTTGTAAACACTAAAAAATTATATCATTTAAACATAGATTATTTACATTTAATTTTCTTCATATTTAATTTAAAGCAATATTACATTTTTGGTTTTATATTCCATAACATATATCAATTCAAGCATTGATAAAACTTATCTCCTTTATTTAAAATAGAAAATATCAACGTATGTGATGACTATGATTTGAATTAAAAAAACTGATTCAGAGACTAACTAAATTAATTACGCCTTATAAGAAGTCTGTTATTATATTAAATATGATAATTTGCTAGTCTAAGAAATTTTGTATAAATAAATGAGTCGTTTTTATGGATCGTCGCAAGTACAACCGAAAACTTATTCTTAATAACTTTATAGAGTGTAATGAGTTAGATAATTAAATTAATGATTTCGATAATAAAGTTTACAGATGATAGATTATTAGAATAAGGAAACGGGTTTCCAGGAAAATTAAGGTGTTTGTTGTAAAGAAACAAAATAGTGATATCTTATTACCATTATTGTTTAAACATACGGATAAACAAAATGTGATTGTCTTGGATATTTGGAAAGCTTACTATGGGTTAAGTTTTTATTTCTATGGGCGTAGTGTATCAAACAGCAAAAACTCCAGCACTGTTTCGATTAACGTACCATTTTTAATTTTAATCCGTAAATTGGATAAGCGTCTCATAAATTATTATAAGAAAAATACTTGTAACTGTTTTTTTTATCAACCGCCCTTACACCAGGAGGAAGGACGTAGCAATTTTTGATAAAATAATAAAATTAGTCAATAAAATTTATTTATAATTTTCACTAAAAACTTCATAAATACCTTTAACTCCGAACCTTTACATCGGTAACAAAAACAAAAAAAAACTTAAATGAATTTATAAGAGATGACTGTCCCTCTTTTATTTTTCGTTTTTTTGAGCTTCGCATAACTTCATATACACTCAATCAACTGGGTGTGACATCAAATTGTTTAATCTATCAAATTATTACTATAGTTTACCACATTATGGTCATAAAAATAAGAGTTTAGACCATAGTATGCTTTCCACCCATCTAAGACAGAAAAAACTTTGCGTTTCACATGTTCAAGTAATATTAATAAGAAAATATCCCTGTCTCGTTTCTCTACAAGAAACATCTTAACTTTTCTTAAACCCTGCTCTGTCATTTTAAAAACCCATGGTCCGTCAACTATATTGCCAAAGTTGTCAGTGTGATTGTTAATACCATCACTCTTTATGAAATTTATCAAGAAGAAGTTTTTCTCGATTGCATTTTCGACGACCTCTAAAAAAAAACTCATTTATTTATATAACTTTCCCAGATATTTCAATTTTTCAATCATAATATGATTGTTGGTTTCCAATCGTATGCAATTAATCAAGTAGGCCACTACATTATTTCCTTTAACTTGAGTCACAGTCATCATATATAATACTGTTCTCTCTTCAAAAAAAAGAAAAATTCTACCAATATCTGAATTGATGTTACAAGTAATCTTTTTCCTTCTCCATAACAAAAAAAGATATTAACAAAGAGACTCTAATCTTTACGGCACGACTTGCATTAGAGAAAAAAGTGAATGTTAGCTCTTATTCTAATCTTAACTGGAAGTCTTTTGCTTTCACAAAATTCACACTGCTTTTCGGTCAAGATTTTTTCGGCACCATTTGACTTTAAAAAAGTTAAAAAAGCATTATCTTTCATGATAGCTTCTAATAGCTTACTATACCGCATTAAGGATATAAAATTTTATTGAGCACTAATCAATTTTAATTGGTTAGTTTTTTGTATAGGGTGCTAATCAAAAGAATACCAAACTCCAAAACCCAACATCTGGTATCATACTCAGTTGATTAAATGTATATAATACCATACCAAACTAAAAATTGTTAAAATAAGAGATGAAGCACTATTTCTTTTTTACAAACCTATTTTTGCTTCCTTGTGTTGTCAATATAAAGGATAGGAATTTGTAAAATTTATGAAATTATTAATAAATTTAATATAATTGTTTCTCTACTTATTAAAATAATTAATAAAAAATTATTGGGTGTCAATCCAATTGATGAATAACAACTAGAAAAAGGAACACTGATTAAATTAGTGTTGAACTATTATTATTTTAATTCAACTCAGAATGTTATTTGTTTAATGGTATATTTGTGATTGGTAAATTATCTATCAATAGTAATTGAATATGTGTTTGTTTTATATTTTATTAAATAAATTGATTATGACAAAACTTCTTAATAAGAGTAAAGTAAATGAGGATGAAGAAGCCACATCTACACTATTAATAAAAGAATTAATTTAAAATTTAATTTAGTTGTTTAAATATATCTAGAATGAAAACTTAAATATATCTTAATAAATAAATAGATGGTTAAAATTTGAGTTGCCATTCATCTTAGATCTTCTTATTAAAAAGTTGTCTATATCTTAACCTTTTGATTCTATTATGAAAAGTTAAAAATTAATTTAAATGTTATTAATCAAAGGGTATAAAATTTACATTTTAAAATAAAGAAAAAAAGGATATGTAATTATAAGTATTTAATTGGTGAAAATGTTTGATTATAAGTTTTAATGTTATAAAAGTAAAGAATTTATATTTTTACTGTTTTTTAATTCTGAATCTAATAAAAATTCAGTAAAAGTTTCATTAACATTTAATAAAAATTAAATGATTTGTATCAAGAGATTGAAATCATTAAAACGAATATATAAGAGAAAAAGATAATATTTTGTAAAACATTAAATGTTAATTTGTTTTGATTTATTATTTTTTATAAAAAATTTTATTTTATTTTACCTGTCTAGTTATGGATAAGAAAATTAAAAAAAGAAAATGAATTAAATAAGTAATATTGAATTTTCAGCTCAAGACATTTTTATTTTATATATAAAGAATGTATATTTATAAAGTATTCTTTATTTGTTTTTTTAAAAATATATTTTCTATTCTAATTATAA